CCAGTTTTAAAATTAATGGGTCATTGTTTAATTATTATTGTTTAACTATTGTTTTCTTAACTTATGGGGAAAAAAGTTATCATTCAGATAGCACCCGGAAACATCCTGTTTCCTATTCTGATAATCTGAGCAAATCCTGGAAACAGCAAGTTGAGAGGGGAAATACTGTCTTCTGTGACTGAGGAAAAAGGCTTTGACACTTCATTTCTCCATCAGAACATACAGAGACATCCCTCTAGATGGGATGCAGCAGAAAGTAGCTGGTGCCCAAATTTAGCTTTGTCTCATCATTCAGGTATAAATCCTTCCACCGTGCCGACATGAATAAAAAAAGTATCTGTTTCTGCACCACTACTGGCTTGCCACCTCCTGATTTACAGGTCTTGCCTAAAAAGCACACCTGAAGAGATCTGTTAGAAGAGACCAGTTCTACTCAGAAAAGTAAGGTTCCTGCTTTTGGAAAGACAGGGAGAAGAGAGGCGGGGGAGGGAGAAGGGATGCTGCCCAGACCACTTATGCTGTCTCCATCCCTAGAGTTTTCCAGGATCCAACCAGAAAAAGTCCTAAGCAACCTTGTCTGACCTTGCACCTGAGCCTGTTTTGCCCAGGTTGAACTAGAGACATTTTGAAGTTCCTTCCAACCTGAATTATTCCATGAAGTGCACACTTAGAAATAATTGTAAGCTTGTGGGTATTCTGTATATATTCTAATACACTTCCTTTGGTAATGGACTGACAAAAGTGCTTGCAATAACATGGTCATATCATCATCCTTTATCAGTGTTAAGTCATCAGTCTGACAGGATGACACAAATTCCATTTGCCATAATAATGATTCCCTGCCTTGAGATAACCTCTTTTAAATTGTGTTACACAACAAGAGTCCTAGACTCAATTCTAATTACCAAGCCAATGATAGTTATAATTACCACCATAATGGATCAAGAAAGCAAGGACACAAAAGCAGGTCCAAAAATAAAAGCAAAATCTTGGCCTACTCATCATTTAAGTGACCTATTCAGAATTTCATTAAACATGTTGAATCCCCCTCAACGTAATGCCACAGAAAGACAGAGTGTGTTTTTTTTTTAAGAACAAAGTTAGGACAGCAATAAATCCATGAACTAAGCAACTGAACGAACCTTAATTTGAAAGATCAGAGGGCCTCAGGTAAAAGACACAGACCTATACACATCCATGCACAGGAAGAACTTCTCATATAATTTGTTCTTCACTCAGGGAAAACATAAAAATAAATCTTTAGCACAACATTAAAATTATTTTTGCACAATATTCATCAACATCCCATCAGATTGCTCACTGTCAGAGTGAATGCACCAGCAATGCATAAAAACATGTTTTTTTAAAATTTTGAGGTGATTACATGATGTTGTCCTGGAAAACATGCATGCTGAAAAAAATAACATTAATGGTTAATCTTTATTTTAGTAGCATGGTGCCCAAGAAAGAAGTTCCCCTAGGCATCCACCACTGGCAACTGAAAGTCAAGGAACTCTAAGATCAGGCCTTGTCAGATCTTTGTCCTATAACATCTTAAAACAAAAATTCAATCATATATAAGTCCAAGGAAAGCTAACATAAAATAACTCTCCCATCACCCGAAAATATCCAAAAGAAAGTAAAGCATGGCCCTGTCACATCTTGCTCATGCTTTCTTCAAAAATTTTGTACTGAACAGAAACCAAAAATTAGGTAACAGCTTCTCACCACAACACCAGCTTCAACTTGCCTTCCTCAATTACCCTCTATCAAGAAGCTTTACACATCAGAAGTGGATAGTCGATACGAAAGATGCAGGACAGGGACTTGGAACATAAACTGAATCGTGACTGTAGCTTTACACCCTAGAGATAAGTAAGTGTTTTATCTTCCAACCAAAACAACACATGAAGCTTTTCTATGTCGTTAATTATCACCGAATAGAAGTAATTTTAAAATTAGGTATATTGATATATAAGGGGGGGGGGAAGCCACAGTTATTAATCTTCTGAGGTTTCCCAGTAGAAACCTAGTGCACTCCTACCAAGGGTAAATACTACCATAAAGATATTTTGGCAGTAATCTTAAACCTCCAGAACCTCTTGGTATTTGGCACATTTTGAAGTGGGGTAAAATAAATTTCACGGTCTTTTGATTATCCACACACTCCATTAGATTCTAGAGATTTGCTAAATACCACAAAAATTATGCTATATCAACATTTGGCTTTTTTCCCCCCTTCCCTCACTATGAACTAGGCCACAAAATTAACAGGCGTTTTTAAAGAATATTCAAACAGTAAATGACCTCCTATAGTGAATATTACTTTTCTATTCTCTGTTGGAAACCTCTCAAACAGCTTGCCTGTAGGTTTTTTTCCTAGGAAAACAGCCTATCCCAAGTAAAACAAAACAAAGACTGCAACAGGCATAGTTATCACTGGGGATTTACCCTCCTGCATACACTGAATTCCCAGAACAAAGTTTTCTGGTGAGGCTGACCACCCAGGAAAATTCCCATAGTGTGGCACTCCAACTGGGAAGGGAAATCTGTAGAGACATCCACAAATTCCTAATGTACCCATATCTTTTGTACTAGCATAACTGTTGTGGTTAGGGTTAAAAAACTTTTATTAAGTATGGTTGCATCCCAAAAAATCCTCTCATGAGCACCATTTTCTAACATGTGTCTCATAACATGTATCCAGCTTTCCACATACACTGGGGTAAGTCATGCTGGTATAATAAAAGCAGGACAACCACTTCCATAAATCCTAGTTCTGTTTTCACAGCTTTAGGCAGAGTCTCTTCTGACACTGCAGCCTGGGACTTGGGCTATATAAAACCAGTCCTTCATGAACCTGAAAACTCTTGGCTAACCATTGCTGAACTCTGAGCTACAGATGCTAAAGTGGGACTGACACCCACAGGAGTCAAATGAGAGCCATTCCATGTCCACAGAATCATGGAATCAATTAGGTTGGAAACGACCTCTGAGATCATCGAGGTCAACCTATGACCCACTAGCACTATGTCAGCTAGACCACGACACTAAGTGCCATGTCCAGTCTTTCCTTAAACACCTCCAGAGACAGTGACTCCACCACCTCCACGGACAGAACATTCCAATGTCTAATCACCCCTTCTGTGAAGAAATTCCTCCTGATTTCCAACCTAAACCACTCCTGGCACAGCTTAAGACTATGTCCTATCATCCTGTCACTAGCTGCCCAGGAGACTGACCCTCACCTGGCCACAACCTCCTTTCAGGTAGTTGTAGAGTGATAAGGTCACCCCTGAGCCTCCTTTTCTCCAGACTAAAGAACCCCAAGTTCCTAAGCCACTCCTCATACGACTTTTGCTTCAGACCCTTCACCAGCTTGGTTGCCCTTCTCTGGACACGCTCCCAATGTCCTTCTTGTAGTGAGGGGCCACAGCCAGACTCGCTATTTCATCCTCCGGCCCCAGCAAGGCAGCAGGACCCTGGGATGCGGCTGATTCGTGGGGAAACTGGAGGGAGGCTGCTCTCCCTCCTGTGCAAGCAGAACGGGCTCTCACACTCCACCCGCACTCACTCACGAGGGTTCTAATAGAAGAGTCGATACACAAAGTTAAACAGGTTTCAGTATGGCTTTAATCCACTTCGCTGACAGCCTTCCCCGTCGCTTTCCCACCGCCGGCCGAGGTTCCCGGGCCTGCGGTGCCCTCTGCCGGGCTGCTCCAGTAGGGATCCCCGGCTCCTCCCGGCGCTCCGACACCCGCCCTCCTGCTGACATTTCCCCGGCTGCCCCTTTCCCCTGGTTGGGCTCCTCTGAGCGGGGTCACAGCCCAGCCCCAGGGCTCTGTCCGCCCGTGCCAGCCCCGGCCCCTGGGCAGCCCCGGCCGTGGCCTCTCCATCACACCCCAGCGAGCGCTGCCGGGCGGGGGTTCCCGGGGCAGCGCCAGCCCCAGCCCCAGCACCTGAGGGTAAATCACAGAATCACTTGGCCTGGAAAAGGCCTCTGACATCATCGAGTCCAAGCTACAAATGAACAAAAGGATGTCAACTAGACCGCGGCACTAAGTGCGATGTTCACTCTTTCTTAAATACCTCCAGGGACAGTGACTTGCGGTCCATTCCAAATGTTACCTTGGCCTAGGGTGCTGACACGTTTGGAGTATTTTAATGCAAATCCTTCCATTGTAAGATACTAAACAAAGATCTAGAGCTGATACAGCAGAATGCCTTCATTATAAATAAATGTATATTTTCTACAGAAGAGGGGGAAATGGTACCAAACCCTAGTCGATAAGGTTCAATTTTTACTGCTGACCCTTTTCCGAGGTCTGCAATCCTCATGACTAAAAAGAGAGTCCTGTAATTAGTCTCATACTTCATCACTGATCTCAGAACATGCTCCATTCCAAATACCTGAATTTTTAGATAGTCATGGTCTCAAAGAACTAAAGAGAAATAGGAAACTGTCTCACCCACCACACTATAGGAAATTCAGGCAGCCAGGGGCTGTAGAGAACCCAGATCATCACATCTCCATTGAGGAACCCACCCACCTGACCACTTTCTGAACACACATTGAAACTACAAGAAATTAAATTTTAAGATAAGAACAAGCTTCTTTACAGAAAGGGTGATCGAGCACTGGCACTTCTTGCCCAGAGAAGTTGTGGAGTCTCCACTCTTGAAGATAACCAAAATCCAACCAGACACAGCCTCGAACAGACAGCTTCAGATGACCCTGCTATGAGCAGAGGGTAGACAATCTCCAGAGGCGCTTTCCCACCTTGGTCATCCTGTGACCACACTACCAAACTCTATGTGTGGGGCTTGGTTTTGATGTTTGGCAGTCAGAGAAAATGCCTTGAAATTCTTGTGTACAGAATTCCTTTTGGAGAGATAAGGTAAGCAAAATTGTCACATTTCCCCAAATTAAATGCAATCAAATATGGATACCTTTCATAATTATAGCAAAGCTTTTTTTCTCAAACTTGAACATCTCTCACCTTACAAAGCTCATCATTCTCTTCTCTAACAGGCAGGGAATTAATATTTGTGCAAGAGTCCGAGTCTGATATCTCTAGTAAGCTGTCATCTTTTTCTGATCCATCGCACTTATTGGTAGAATCACTATCGTTCTCCCAGTCGATGAACTCCAATTCATCTAAAATAGAATATTGGTAAAAAGAGTTTTTTCTTAATCACCATCTATTATAAGCATGAAGTCAAAGTAATAATACAGTTATCCTGAACTTGAAGCAAAAAATGCTAGGTTTTTTTTTTCCTGTGTTCAACTGATCTTTAACTACTTTGTCTCTCAAAAAATCCTACTAGAAGAAAATCTTCTGTGAAGAAAGATAAACATTATACACACAAAAATTATTTCAAAGCACTGTGTGGCAGCACCTTTAGCTGCGCAGGTACATAGGGTGTTTTTTTTTAGTTTAGTTAGTTAATATCTGCTGTTACTGGTAACCCTCACAGAGGAATGGAAAAGCTAGTTGAAATGGTCACCTCCTAGAACACCATACCTAAACATACAGGTCTGCAATTCAAACCTCTAAGCATACTAGAGAGAGGATTGCTTAGGATAAGTGAATAGAAAAGGCACAAGACAGAGTTTAAAAAACCAAAACAACAAACAAACCCACAACAAAATGGCAATAAACAAAGAGATGCAGATACAAATGCAGAACTTTTCTTCCACCATCCTCGTGACCAGGTGGTATTTAATACAACTCCGAAAGTACACTCACACCTCCTAGGATCTACTGAAGGTTTCATGGAAACCTGAGCTGCAACAGTAGCCTCACTGCTCTTCAGGTCCAAGTGCCACAAGGTACTGAGAGGGATAATCTCAATGCCTTTTGTATAAATGAGCATGTTCAGAGAAGAAGGGATTAACGCTTTTTTGGGTTTTGCTTTTGTAAACGTCATACTTCTAACACCAGAATAGTCATGTATGGGGGAGATGCAGCACCTGCAGAATACTCCAGACAGACATACATACATCTCCCTGGAACTGTGGTAGTATCTTCTGGACTTGGCAGTGCTACAGTGCTATAGTCTAAGTCACTAGTTTCTTTATTGAACTTCCTGAAGTCACCCAGACAAATAAACACACAGATCTGGTGTTCCTTGCTTTGTTACACACACAAATGCACTTCTGTTTCTAACTATGAGAAAGCTTCATCAGCAATTTTAAGCACAGACACTGGTGATCAGGTAGCACAAAGAGGTTTCTCTTGAAGCTGTGTGACAAGCTGTGTGCAACTTGACAGCAGTATAAATCCTTAATAAAATACAAGACAACACATTTTATCTTGTCACACTTCACATAAAAGGGAACATCACTTTAAAAAATAACCTTTTCAGCTACTGTAGCCATTTCTACAACTGTACCCATATATGCACACACACACAGATATACACTAATTACAGCATTGTACATACTGTATGATGGTTACTCCAAAAAGTGTAGAAATCACAGTTCTTTTACTCCCCACTGCTTTCGGTATACTTTCGGGTTTAGAAGAAAAATAGGAAATTACTGGATTTTCTCAAACATATATAATTCATCAGAGTTTCTTCAATTACACAGAGAAACTAAATTTTGCTATCTTAGAAGATTAAAAATACGTCTGTATATTGTCTCTTAAAAAAAAAAAAAAAAGAGAAATAATAAAGCCTGTACTTTCATGGGACAAGTGTGACAGAATGAAATTATGGCAGGTTAGAAAGATTCCTGGTCAGCAACAGGTTACAGTTTAGAAAATGAACAGCCCTCCCATTCCAAAAAGAAGAAAATTACTAGGAATTACAAAAGACAACTATCAGATACAACAATGACACAGTTAAAAGGGTGACAAAAATATGGATGAAAAGAGGAAGATTTTGCATTTTTGTTTTAAATCTAAGGAGCATGTTTATCCAGAGTCACAGACAAAAAGTAAATCAGTCAATGCATTTGTTCAGCTCAAAATGGTCTTTGAACACTTTGCCAGACATCCAGAACGTGAAATCTGGCTGTAATGCTTCAGATCTAGCTGAAGTAACACAAAGTTAACGTGATTTATTTTTCACATTGAAAATACTTCCCAACAAGTTCTAATGCAACTTACATATTACCCTAATTAACACTTGTAATAATACAGCACACAAGATTTTTCTGTCTTCAGACACACTTTTTAATCAGTTTTTCTCCCCTTTGCCATTTCCTGCTCCATGAATTAGAAAGGAAGTCCCTAGGAACCAAACTCATGGCTAGTTCACAGTAGAGCTAACATGGAAAGCAAGGAATGCTGTGTACCAAAATGAAAATGCATGCCAAAGAACACGATGCTATCTGCAGCTGCAAAGTCTGCCACATCTACTCAGTAGATGCAGACAACAATATCACCTGTAGAACAAAGCAGGCAGAGAAGGCTGTTCACAACCTCAGAATCTGTACCACAGCACAGAGAAGAAAATAGTACAAATAAACTACAGTATATTGAAATGAACTGACGTGCTTTACTCAATGTTGTATAATCTCCCCAGCTTTGCTCCTTTACTCCAAGGTTTAAAGTTTTTGTACATAATTTATAGCAAGAACTTATTCTATACCCAGATGAAATTTATGAAGAAAAACCCCTCCAACTGACCCAACCAAAACAGGATTAGATCATGTCATTTTGTCAGAATGACCTCGGAGCATTCTCATTACAGCACTTGAAGTTGACAGAAGGTTTCTTGACAAATCTGCTTGCGTTTGAACTTACCTTCACTGCTTTTGTCCTCCAACAATAAATCATGTCTGCTAGGCGATTCCTCTGTTTTGGAAGCGTGATTTTTTTTGCTGTGCAACCTTGGAATCAATGTTTTATTTTCATTGTCTGAAAAATCACTGCCACTAGAGGTCCATATTATGTCCTCAGCTTCCCTAGAGTTTTCAGCAGCAGCACCAGCCTCTATTAAAAAGAAAAGTGTTAGACTGTTACAGAAGGGAAGTTTTGTTAAATTTAAAATTATTAAAAATTAAACTATACTACTTTTAACACGAAAAATTATCAATTCTGCTACAGGCATCAGAGATTAATACTGAAGCATCAACACACACATTTCTTATACATACATGCATTATTTTCCTTTTGGCTCTCCATAATAAATGGTAATACTTCATTTTATACAATGAGGCTATCACTCTGTCCTTCAGCAGAGTAAGGACAAGTCATGACTATCTGACATTTAGTTCCCTACACACAGTCCTAATGCTCCCCCACATGTGCCCTTGTAAAATGGTAAGAGGTTTAAATAAAGACTGTCCTTAAAATTCTGTGTTTGGGATTTCTCTGATTTCATGCAACGAAAAACAAACAAATAAAAGTATTTCACCAGTAGTATTTCACTCAGTTTTCTCCTGTTGGGGGTAAAAAATAGAAAAGCCCAACTTTTCAGGAGTTGCAAAGAAAAGCTGTTGGGTTTTTGAAGTAATACATTTTCATTCAAAATACCTTTCTCCATCATTTTTAATAACAAAAGCAAGGAAAAGAGGATTCATGCTTAGCATAAAGCATACAAACTAGTAATCATAGGAAGGCAGAACTTTCCACTTCTTACCACTACTAAAACTTCACACATAAATGGGAAGCTAGACAATTACTGGGGATTTGGAATTAGGCAGAAGGGCCTAGAGGAAGCACAACCACATCTCCTCCTGCAACACACAGAGGTTCTTCTCAGAAATCTGGAAAAGCTAGAACCCCAAAAGATAGACAGAAAGTGCCCAGTCGGTCACCTACTTAGGTCCAACAGAAACAGCACAGCTGCTGGAGCAAACAGAAATAGAGACTGAAGAAGTCACTACCCCTTCTTTCTTTCCTTTCCTCCAGACTCAAAAAAGGAAAGAACTGGAAAGAATTGATAAGTCCTCCTCCTCTTTATTTTGCCTAGAGTTTGGTTTTTTTTTTAATCACAATATTAAATGATTCAGGTGCATATAGAAGGCTGCAAAAGCTGGAGGTTGATAAAATTCTGTTTTTCTACCTATTACTCATATTTACAAAATGCACGTTATCTCTCATGCCTGCTTGTCTGTCTCTAGCAGAAAACAGAGTAATTTCACCCTCAGTCTATATAGCTAAGGGTTATTTTTCATTCTCTCCTGTTAAAAATGTGAAGAATTTAAATACCCTGTCCTTGTTATAACCACATGCAGTATTAGTGATGCCTCTCTCCCCTGTTCAAGAGCAATAGCTGAGTGACTGCAGCTCTGCAAAATATATTTGGCACTCTAGATGAAGAGAAGACCCCAACAGCAATAGCAAGAGACTGCGTGTCTTATAAAAATTAGCTTTTGATTACAATAACAGAAGAAGAAAGCAACCAGTATTTTAAGCCAACTTCAACCTTAATAAAGGAAAAAAACAAAGTGACAATCTTCTGACAATGCTAATATGATGTAATTATAACATACTTGCTGCACTTTCAGCAGATGTTAACAGTGGTCCAAGATGCTTCTTAATCCTGGATTTCTTATTAGTAGGTCTCTGGTGCTATATAAAAAGGAGACAAAGGGAGAGATTTAATCACTAAGACATTAAAAATAATTTCAACATATCAATATATTCAAAGCTGTTGTTATTCACCCACCAAAGCTCAGCAGTACAATTTCAAATCATTTTTCTGTCTTCTACTAGACTGTGATATAATGACTGAGGTATCATCAGAGCATGAGAACAGTAACATAAAAGCTGAATTTTCATAGATTTGGAACATACAAACTTACTGTGACTGACAGAAATCACATGTGACCTTGAGAACAAGAGCCAGTATTTTCAGCATTAAAATGTCAGAAGTGGGAAGTAACAGCATGCTTGATAAAGCATGTGCCCTATTCAAAGGTTACAGGAAGAAGTACTTGGTTACCCTGTCACTGGTTTTTACTAAATCCCACAAGCTATGCAACAGTGTGACCGCTCAATACCAGAAAAAAGAAACAGAAAAGTAACTTGGTTGATAATGATTTTCAGCACAATACACTTCTCACTCAGAGCTGGCTGAGAATCTCTGTTCGTGATCAACAAGACCAACACATGCACAAGAAGTTAAGCATAATTTGATATATTATCCAAGAGAGCACCAAGATCCACATCTGCAGGGTCATCCAAAAGCAGGATTTTCTACAGTGAATTCACTATTGCAAATACGCTATTTAGATCTAGCAAAAAACATTCAGATGCAAACTACAGTCTTTTTGTTCCACATTTTTTAGGAAATGTAGTAGTCCATCTCAAATGTTAAATTACTTTTACATTCTTCAGTGTATTATTGAAATTTTCTAAGTGTTAAGTGCTATCTAGAACATAACGTATTAACATATGCTCAGTAAGTTACACTGATAAGTTAAGACAATGTCCTTATATAACTGTACTTTCCATTTTTTTGTCTATTTTGACAGTTGTAACAATATGTTGTTAATTTGGAAACAACAACAACAACAAAAAGGCAACATCTTATTATTCAGTCAAGCATGGAAACTAACTGCCAGTTTGCATTTCTTTCTTACACCATTATGTCAGCATTTTACCTCCAGCATTGAAGTGCTCTGAAAACCATCCCCACACCTAAGCCACGCATTGGAAATCGAAGTAGCGGCCAGTGATGTCCTGACATTTGATTTTTTCGGACATAGGGGCGTCTCATCTGGGAAGGGTGTGCATTCTGCATTCCAAAGTCTCTTACGCTACGAGGAAAAGCAAACCCATTAAAAACACTGTGTACACATTATTCTTTTCAAGTTAAATTTACTGAATTTAGATTGCCTACAGTATTTTCTGAATATTTACAAGCATAAACTCTGATTTTAATGAGGAACACTAAGTAACACCACCACTACCAATGTCATGGGTAAATTTAATTTTTGATTAGTACATTTTCTTTTGATCTAAGCTACATCTAGTAGTACCTGATAGCTGCTCAGTGAAGCTAAAATATTATGTAAAGCAGGAGCAGCTCAGTAAAGTACACTTTAAGGAAATAATTCCTTCAAACTCACATTTAATTTGGTCTAATTCTGTTTATGCAGCAGGTCAAACTAGATATCCCTATACAGTTCTCCATTTAAAAAAAAATAACCAAACAAAAAACATCCAAACTTCTTTAGCTGTAAGAATTAGATTTGTTTTCATAACCATTACGCCTCCCCCAAAAAGTAGATGATCTGTTGCCTTCTCCTTCCATAGGGTGCTGGAAGTCATTTGGATTATTACTGAAGTCATGAAATACGATTCTGTTTAGCATCCAGCGCTAATTTAATGCAACAGATTGTAACATCTGAAATTAGCTGAAGATGAGAGAATTGCCTATTACCACATCCAAATCTATCTCTCAGATTCAACAAAGTTTACACATAAAAATGAACTTGAGCACAATAAACAACTTAGCCTGTTATGCTACCGAAACTTCTCTCACAAAATGTTGACTGTATTATCTGCCTGAATACATCTGTCTTCTTCTGATATACTTTCTCTCAAGCAACAACAGTTCCTACCTATTAAAAAAGTATTACTCCGAAGTTAATTTAATCAGCACACACATTTTCAGCCAGACTGGTCAATCAGGACACACATTTTCAGCCAGACTGGTCAATCAGGATTGTAACACACACATTTGTATTGGGTTTCTGTGGCTGGGTTTTGGTAGTAGAGGGTTGGCTACAGGGGTGGTTTCTGTTAGAATCTACTAGAAGCTTCACCCATGTCTGGTGAGGCCAATGCCAGCTCCAGGACAGACCTGCCGCTGGCCAAGGCCAAGCCAATCAGGAATGACAGTAATTGAGCAGATGGAAATTGCAGCCAGAGAGGAGCGGAGTGAGAACATGTGAACAACAATGTAGACACCAAGGTCAGTGCAGAAGAAGGGTCAGGAGGTGCTCCAGGCACCAGAGCTAAGGTTCCCCTGCAGCCCGTGGTGCAGACCACGGTGGAGCTGCTGTGCCCCTGCAGCCCATGGAGGACCATCAGGGTGCAGAGATCCACCTGCAGCCAATGGAGGAGCCCATGCTGGAGCAGGTGGATGCCCAAAGGAGGCTGTGACCCCATGGGAAGCCCATGATGGAGCAGGGTCCTGGCAGGGACCTGCTGACCTGTGGGGAGAGGAGCCCACGCTGGAGCAGGTTTTCCTGGTAGGAGTTGTGGCCCTGTGGGGCCACACGCTGCTGCTCCACGTTGGAGCAGCCTGTGCCTGAAGGACTGCATCCCATGGAAAAGTGACCCATGGGACAGCAGTTTCATGAAGAACTGTTGCCTGTGGGATGGACTCAAACCAGAAAGGTCCATCAAGGACTGTCTTCCATGGGAGGGACCCCACAGGAAGCAGGGAAAGGACTCCTCTCCCTGAGCAGCAGCAGAAACAACAACTGACTGTAACCCCCATTCCCATCTCCCTGCACCACTGGCGGGGAGCAGGTAGAACTTGGAAGGAGGGAGGGGTGGGGGGAAGGTGTTTTTAAGATTATTTTATTTCTCACTCTTCTGCTCTGATTCTGTAAGTAATAAATTTAGTTAATATCCTCACTTTGAGTCTGTTTTGCCTGTGATGGTCATCAGTAAGTGACCTCTCCCCGCTCTTATCTCAACTCATGAATCCTTCTGTTGTATTTTCTCTCCTCTATCCAGCTGAAGAGGGGAGTGAGAGAGTGGCTTTAGTGGGTACCTGGCATCCAGCCAGGGTCAACCCACTACAATGTCAAACTAACATACGCACACAAAAAAATAACATTAAAAAAAAAAGGTAGAATCATAGAATATCCTGAGTTGGAAGGGACCCTCAAGAATCATTGAAATCCATCTCCTGGTCCTGCACAGTACAGCCCCAAGAAGCACACCAGGTGCCTGAGAGCACTTTCTGTCCATTTTGTAACTGGCAATGTATATTTGTTTTCCACAGAATTATTCACAGAATAAAGCAAGTACAGTGAACAGCATCTTATTTCACCCCTGATGATACAGTCCTTCTGTCTCATGGTAAGAAGACAGAGTAAAACAAATGGGCTCTGCATTTTCATCTGATGGCAACTGACCTTGCTAAAAGCCTTTTCTAAAACTGCTGGGGCATTTACACTGCAAAGCAGATACTACAAGAGGTCATTGTCACCAAAGTCAAATTGTCCCCATAACTACTCCCACAGATATATGAGAAGTACAACATTGAATCTGATGTGGTATTAAATATAGAATCAACAGCATTTTAAGGACATTAAGCAGGCCACAGCACTGACACAAAGAGAATTTAAGCCCTGCCTTCCTCTCAGCGAAGATGCTGGCCCAAGCCTCGATTTCCAGAGTGTTAGACATGAACCTTTACACTGGGCTGTCCTCTTGGTAAACACTTCTGCCTTTGCACTGAAGAAAGCATTGACAGAGCAAATATTAATAACAACAAATGACAAATAACAAATCAAGGCCCAGTTTTTGGTTCTACTGCAAAACATCACAGCAAAGCCTCACTTCAGTTGAAGTCAATTCCTTGACCTCCATGTCCCCAGACCGGATGACATCTGCCAGGCTCAGAGTTAACAGTACAGCCAGGAGGGCAACGAGGCTCAACAACACATTGTGACTCCAGTTTTGAGTTAGTTAGTATTTTGGTTTTTGGGAGTTTCTTTTTGGTTGACTGGTTTTTAACCTTAGCCAGTCCTGGAAGTCTTGCCTATATGCCTGTTTTTGTAGCTCTTAGAAGACTTGGCAAGATATATTTTGCGGATAAAGATTTACAGTATAAAATGCAAGTTTCTTTCTTAAATGGGATGCTCCAGTTTTGATGAATGCAAGGTATGGCCAGTGGTGCACAACTGTCTGGATTTACGAAGGGAATGCCACATAAAAATCAGGATAAAAGCTACATGTTAACTCCCTCTGCCCACATAAGAAGGGTTGGGGTGCGTACAGAAAGGACATGCTTACAGATGACAAGGTTAAAATAAAGCAGACTAATATGAGTACAACAAATAGCTGGGTTTATGCTTAGATGGTTACACATATTTAGATTATTACAGTGCAATGTGAAGTGACACTGGAAGTGACTTGTAAACAGTTGGAATTCAGAAACATGGGACGGTCATGGTTGTGATAGGCAAAAAGAGTTCTTATGGTTAATGACTTAACGACAGAAGAGCATTATTTACTCTTGCACTTCAACAGCCTGAAAAAAGGCAGGGCTGCTCAGGTTTTCAGAGCAGCACTATGGGGCTGTCTCAGGGCAGTTGGTTGCATGGCAAATCAGAAGCAACTGGAGTCCTCTCTTCCCCATCTTCCCAAGCACTTGGCACTTGCCAGACTCTGTGCAGACACAGCAACAATGAACCAAACTGTCAGAAAACTTCTTTGTGAAGAAGTACTAGTTACCTACAGCTGGCACAGCAGCAAAAGAAAAGATACAAGAACTAGTGGGACCACTCCAGCAGATGCCTGGCACCATGTCAGATTAATTAATAAATGGTCAGTCTTCGCGAGCGAAGATCCGGGGAAGGTATTTCCACCTTCCAGCCTGCGCATTGGATTTTTTAGGTGAGACACAGTGTGCGCGGAACTGAGCCCACCCTTTAATCCTAAGGTTCATCTGCCGGGGCCAAGCGAGCTTGGACGGTGGCAGCGAGGTCCTTAGGACGTAGGTGGGTTGCCTTTAAGGGCTAACGAGCCCCACCTGCCCGGGAGTGGCCCTGACCGGAATCGAACCCGGGTCTCCGCGGTGATAGCGCCGCGCCTTTACCACTAGACCACCAGGGGCTGCCTTGTCAGATTAATTACATCCTGAAGAACCATCAGGACTGCTGACAGCTCCGGCCAATTACCTCTCTGTTTCACCATGCATCCTGCTCCCTAGATAAAGTAAAATCTAAGAGCTTCTGCTACCACCACACAGAAATTTATAGCTATGATAGTCACTGAGAAAAACTGAAAACAGTCTCCTCAGGGTCACAAAATAAGAAAGTAAAAAAAATACACCCTCTACATGAGATTTTCTTCAGCTACTGCAAATTTCTGGCACCATTTGGAGGGAAGAGAAAGAGAAGGATTTATGATTGCTGATATTGACAGCAGTGGCTTTGTGCTCTGTGCTTTTAATGCAAATGTCTTTCCACCAATTCCAACATCCTAGACCACCTTAAAAAAACTGAAAAAACAAACCCTAAAGACAACTCTCCCCATTCCAAATGCCTTGTCAGTTTACATCTCTCCATATAAATATCTGACGTGAATTCGGGAAACTGGACCTACAGCTGCAATCCATAGTTATTGAGAAGAGGGTTTGTCATAGTAGCACTGCACGTATGCACATGTATGTATGGGTGCATGTATACACATACAAACACACAACAAGCTTTTTTTCAAAGGAAAAGTATGCCATGTAAAAAGTGCGTCACTTCAACATGCATGAATTAATGTTTACGTGAAGATATAAGTGGAAAGCACACAAACGTATTTTTATTAAAAACCTGCAACATGAAAATTGTTTGTAATAAAAAGGAGGTACAGATGTCCAGAGAAGAGCAACCAGGCTGGTGAAGGGACTTGAACACAAGTCCTATGAGGAGAAGCTGAGGGAGTTGGGGTTGTTTAGTCTGGAGAAGAGGAGGCTCAGGGGAGACCTCATCACTCTCTACAACTACCTGAGAGGAGGTTGTAGCCAGGTCTGGGTCAGTCTCTTCTCCCAGACAATCAGCAGTAGGACAAGAGGGCACAGGCTTAAGCTCTGCCAGGGGAGGTTTAGGTTGGATATTAGAAAGAAGTTCTTTACAGAGAGAGAGATCAGGCATTGGAATGGCCTGCCCAGAGAGGTGGTGGATTCACCGTCCCTGGAGGTTTTTAAGATGAGGTTGGATGTGGCACTGAGTGCCATGATCTAGTAATCACACTGGGGTTGGATCAAGGGCTGGACTTGATGATCTCGGAGGTCTCTTCCAACCCACTTAATTCTATGATTCTATGTAAGTAGCTACGAGGATTCAAGACACGTGATTCAGAAGAAAAATTCCCAGGGACACAGTGACACCAGAGAGTTCTGCCTGGATGAAGCCTACAATGCAAGGAATAGAAGGAAAACGCAGTGACTACACTTTGCAAGAGCCGCAGGTGTCACCATGGTTCAAACCACAAATGCACCATCGTAACAGGGTGGCCAAGGCAGTGCAGTCACGGGCCTGGGAGCAGGTGCAAGGGAGCTGGGAGCAGCCCTGGGGGGCCTCTGTTTGGCTCTTTGCCTTTGGGCAAGGTGGGACAGTGCCCACCTTCAGGAGAGCATCCAAGGACTTTTGCCACAGCAATACATGAGATGGCATGCAGAAACAACAAGTTTTAAAGGCTCTTGGCTTATGCCCCAGCCAGCTTCAAGGCAACAGAGAAACTAGTATTTTAAGAAACTCACTTCTCAGGAGTAAATATTTATAATGAAGCTAATCTGAAGGCTGTGCTGCTCCCAAAGACATGCAATAACAACAGTGAATTATCTTGATCTTGAGTCAAAAGGTTAATCATCTTTTTCCTCCGGAATAAAAATAGGGCAAACAAAAAATAACTTGTGTAATTTATGAAAGGCATGCATGAAGTATCTTGAAACAAGATATTGGTATTAAAAAACATCACTGAATCAGGCTCAAAAGAGCTAAAGCATGTAGACCCAGCATACATCATAAAATTAAGATTTATTACAAAAAAGAGTCAGACAAAGAACCTTGTGAATTGAGTAGGATGTCAGAAGACAAAATATGACCTCTGAAATTTTGAGTTAAAAAAGGAAAGGCTAGGAAGGCTACATCATATAGAAATTGTCTGTTGATATCTGATCACAAAAGCATTGCATTTTGTCTCTGGAACAGTTCCTTCTAAAGGAATAGAAAAAAAGCTTAATTACTCCTGTGGGTGTCAGCAGAATTAGGATCAAGCCCTCCTCAAAAAGAAAGGCATGGCAAGCAAACCTTCCCCCATTACTCCTTCAGTTATTTCCAGTGAGATAAAAGTAAGTCATCCTACATGGGTTCAGGTGTGAGAAGAAGAGAGGCACACTCCGAAAAAAACTATAAATATACATAGTGATCACACAACAGACTACTAAAAGTATGGGACAGGTGGATTGGATTTGATTTTTAAATAGATGTTCCTATCTAGAACATCTCCACTCCACCAATCTGTATGGTTACTTACGCTAAACACTTGTTACCCAGAAATACCCTATATGAAGTCACTGGGACCATATGCTCAAAGGCTGCTTACTACACAACCCTTTACATTGGAGACAATCCCATTTTCTTAGGGCTGCTCCAAAAAACACAAGAAAAACCCCCAGGAACACATGATCCAATATATTATCTCCCTCATACACAAGTGGCATTTCTTGACGCTTCACCTTCTCTAACACAAAAAGCAAGATAAGTTGAAGGACAAAAATAAAATATTCCACTACATGAACTCCAGCTACTGGCATGCAAATCTAAACAGTTAATCATGTCACTTAAGCATCACTCAAGAGTAATTCAAATACAACTATTGTAATCTTCCTGAACAGAGCAGAATGAAAAAGTACTGAAAAAAATTACAGCTCTAGTTTCCAGAGAGTTTTTTGAGTTTTTTTTAAAAAAAATCTTTAAAGGGAACAATTGCATCAAAGTACACAGAAAGAAATATCAAACACTGAGTAACAGCCATCCTCATCTTTTGCCTTTATCCTCATAGACTTCACAAAAAAGTACTCATAAACTAAAAGCAAGGAGTCTTGGCCTTCAAAAGCCCAACTTTAAGAAAGAACAAAACTGAATTTGACAATACGCATCTCGTTTTCAACAAAACTCAGTAGTCATGCAATTGAGCTCCTGAAAGTGTAATTACTGGTTTTAGTGCCCAGATAGAAAATGAAATTTTAATTCAATAAGAAAGCATCCTTGAACTTTAAACCCTCAAGTGAGGATTTAAATAAAGGTTACATACTTAAAGCCATAATCTGTATTTTTTTTCCAGCCAAGATTATTTTTTCATTCCTATGAAAACCAGCATGCATATTTTCCAAAGATGATTTGCAAGAACACATATGATCCCTAGACAGGTCTGCATCAAGTTGTAATCACTCATGAAAAAATCTAGACTGTATGACCACAGTCAATGACAGCAATGATGACCTGCCTCCTTCCCCACTGTCAGCATGAGCACAGGAAAGAAAGAAATATTAAAACCAAATTAAAATCTCACAATACTTTTCCCATTGCTATTGATGCAAGACCAACATTTTTAAAATACTATTTCAAAGCCTTTCTTTGTGTTCATTTTTACTACTCTTAATGAAAGACTTATCACTGACTGACATACATAGGTATATATAAGATCGCCATTTGAATATCGGGACTTTTTAACCTATGCATCCTTTCTTAAGCAAAAATACAAATCATTATAGGCTTACATTGAAAAAACCTCTCATGGAATAAGAATGCTATTGAAGTAGTGCTTTGTATTAATAAATGGTGCCAAGTAGTTAGAGAGAAGTCTGCAGTCCATCAAAATAGTTAGAAGTATTTTAGAAAAGCTTTCACAAAATGTATTGTATCGTAAACATTTTGGATAACTAACGGTAGCTTTTTGTTATGTATCGGGTTGGATTCTTCTTAATCAGTTTAATTAATAGTCAGCACGTGGGCAGGACTGTTCTATTTTCATTTGACCAGTGAAAACAGTTATAAAGTAACGAGGAACATTGTCTGCAAACTACTATTATCAAAAGCTGCTATCACATTGCAACAAGGGTTGGTTAAATATTGGCAGTTGAAGCATGCAGCTTTTCACTAGTCAAGGACTTAAAACCTTTCAGAAAAAAATGTGTATAGTGTCAGTATTACAAGGCAATTTAAATGAAATATAGTAGTTGTTTGTTTTTAAGCTTGCTGTTGACATTTTCTTCCACTATAATTTGCTTTAAATGGGGTTATATTTAAAAATCCGTTGAATATTGGCACTATTTTAAACAAAATGCTTCAGGAACCACATCTGTCATTTGACTTCTAATTGTATTTATATATCGAAAAACGACACTTGTAGTCCGCCTTTCAGCAGCGCCTCAACATTAGCACAAGCATGGAAAATCAGAGACACCACATCCTGATTGCCATCCTGCGGGGATCATCCAGTGCACCGAGCAAACTACCAAAGAAAGGAGACCGAAAACCAGCACGGGGCGCTTCTCCTCCCTCCACTCCCAACTCCCCCTCGGAGAAGCGAAGCTGCTCAAAACAATATTATAATCCTGGCAACTCTGACAAGTCTCTTCGACTGCCACAGTTTTCCTCTCCCCGCACGTCCTTCCTGGCTGCCGTCCGCAAGCAGGCTGAGCCCCGCTCTCCCGCCGGAGCAGCTGTGCGAGGATGGATCGCACCGTCAGCGTTGCGCAACCGCGCACACCAGGGACGCGGGGAAGGACCGCGTTCCCGCCCCCCGCTCCAGCGCGGCGGGCCGCCAGCACCGCTATCGCCTTCGAACCGGACCGGAGGGGGCAGCGGGGCGGACACGGTTCCTCCTCCACCACCACCACCACCACCACCCACTCCCGCGCTCCCTGCCCCGGGGCCGGGAAGGGAGGCCACAAGGACCTGGCACAAGGGCCGCCACTGGCTCAGCTCTGAGCGGCAGCCAAGGCGGTGCTCCCCGGTCCGCCCGTCCCGTCCCGGCAGAGCCCCTTGGACTCCCGTCCCGCTGCCACCGGTACCTTCCCGCCGGGCATCGCCCCGGCCGCCCCGGCCGCGGACCCTGTCACGTGGCGGGGGGAGCCCCGGGGGCGGGGCCGAGGGAACCCCCAGCGCGCGCCCGCCCCTTGCCGCTTTGGCGCCGCCGCAGCCCCGGCTCCTGATTGGGCGGGGCGCGGGTGACGTCAGGGGAGGGCGGGGTTTTGCCGGGGGAGGGGAGGGTCGCGGTGCGCGCGCGCGGGGGGCGGGGCCGGCGGCCGTGAGGGGTGGGGGCTGGGCCGCTGCCGGTGCCGGTGACGGTGCCGGTTGTTGTCGCGGCCGCGTCCCGGGAGCCGGCGTGGTTTTCCCGGCGGGAAACCCCATTGCTGGCACCGCGTCCCTCCTACCTTCCCTCGCCCCGAGGTGTCATGGGGAGCCAGGCATGCGGGGAGCGACGGGATGCTGCAGCCTCCGGGATCGTCTGTGCCTCTGCCCAGGGCGGGGGCTGAGTTGGCCGCGCTGGTTTCTGAGACGATGGTGTGGAAAGCGCGTCTGAGGTGTGCTTGTTGCAGGAGGAGTTCACGAGCCACACACCACACTTTATGAAAAATACTTTCACTGTTAAGCCGTTGCTGTAAGATTTCAACTCCCTAAACAAAAAGTAAGCCAGTGCGTTTAGTGCCAGTGCCAAGGTGTAGAGACCTGGAATCGAAACTGCTTTGTATGGAGGTTCTCTTCTGTAAAATAATAGCTGCAGCTAACTGAAGGAAAAAAGGCTGACCACCTTCACAAATGTTCTTCTGGTGCGAGAGGAAACACTGGCAGAAAGGTTATTTTTTTATTGCTTTTTGTATGTTCTTCAGAAGGTCGCTTAGGCTGCCGTGAAACACAGTTTGTAATAAACAGCCTTTGTGAAATGAGGTAGTTGTATCTCGCAGTTTAATTAGAATTTATAAAGCACACTTTTGGTAGGAAGTGCTGCATGACTTCATTTATATTATTAAACCCTAATTACATATATCTGTCTATAGTTTACAGTTTGTATTTTTTCCAAAGCACCCTGTGGCCAATACCTGTCTTGCATTCCCTTTATAAAACTGCCACTAATTAAAGTGGATTTTGCAAACAGAAGAGCCAGAAACATCATCATCCAAGCCCCATACTGCCTTTGATTATGTTCAAAACAGAGTTAAAAGCACTTGTGTTCTCATCCTTCCAAAAATTTGCAGTATTTCTTCTGAAATTGCCAGACTGACAAATGAATTCTATTATATATCATCAAAGTGGTTTTCTTTGATATTTTTAAAAAGTATGTTACTGCACTATTCATCTAAACAGTCTATGTTAGAACTAAACCACAGAGAAATACAGGGACCACAGAAGTCTGGTCTGCTTAGTGCATCTGTATTTTTTTCTGTACATGAACTCCTTCTGAGGATTCCAAGGTGCTCACACCTGAAAGGAACTTACTTCTATAGAATCCCAAGAAGATGACCCAATCAATAGATTTATTTTATTTATTTTCATGTTCTTCAGAAAGAAGTACTGAAATTACATGGAAATAGAGGAAACGTGTGCAAAAAGAACCCTTTATATTAGGAATTAAAATGTTGAGCTGTGACTTTTTTGAAATAGTGCTGCTGTGAAGACAGAATGTGAAGACAGATGCTGAGCTTCTTGACAAAAGTTTGTTTCATAATACCAGTATATTATTCTTCAAATCTGTTAAAAATTTCTGTGCATAATACTTTCAGAAGTCATAATTAACACAATTGGCTATGTAATTTTTGGAGAACTGTTTTTTCATCTACATATACAAGAAGATCCATGTTCTCACAGGCTTAAATAATAGTTTGAGTCCACTGTTTTATCTGATATACTGATTAACTGTGCCTGTGCTCAAGATCAAATCTACTGCTACTCAGGAAATGTTAAGAAATTTTAGAATTTTTGTTGCATGAAAATTCTATGAAAAATATAAAATTCCTGTTAACAATAAAAATTAATTTCCTTACTAAAGTCCAGGAAAAAAGCATTTGTTTGTCAGTGATGCTGTTGATTGTATTGATGTTTCTTAATCCACATGTAGAAAGAAACAAAATATATTTTATACAAAGGAATCAAACTATAAGAAAGCTTAAATTACTGAAGTTTGGAGCACTTGTTTATATTGATTGAATGTGCCTGTCCTTCAGCATTTATGGATTCATTTCCTCTTGCAGAGCATTAAGTTGGAGCTTTAAAAGCTTCCTAGTGTATATAGCCTGGTAGGGACAATGACAAATTCAAGCAGAGAGAAAGGCTTTTGATGTGTGTCATTTCCTCAGTAAAGTTTTAAGTCACAAGCATCCCAGTCACTGAACTGGGATGAGATAGATGAGGAAAAACTCATCAAGTATTTTAGAGTTTTTCTTTCAGGGTCAGCTGGATTTTTATGAATCTGTCAGGCAGGAGGTCATCCAAGGCCTAGGCTAAATCCCAGATAGATCCCAGTCTAGATCCAAAGTAATATTTTCCTCCGAAGTCTGTGCTGCAGTTTAATCATTCCAAGCTCTCTAAGGTTTTCTAGGAAACAACATGAAACACTTCAGACTTTTTAATCCTCAAGCTGCAGTGTCAATTCAACTATAGATTAAATTGTATCATTTCACAGTACAGTGCATCACTATGCTGAGGCAAGCTGTTAACTGTGGAAGAAATGGAAATAAAAACCAACATAAAAACCCTCAGGGGATGCCAGATTGCAGTGAATCAAACGGAATCAAGTTTTACATTCACGCAAATTAAAAATTAATAGCTAACCATTTAAGAATCAAAAGCAAAAATAGGTTTTAAGTGAATCAACATACTCAGGAAGCACCTTTTTACCAGGCCTTGCCCCTGGGTCATGAAGACATGAGGGGCTCCAGCCTCCCTCTGGGGTGTCCTGGCTGCCAGCTGGCACAGGGGGGCTGCATACTGGGCCTAAGCCGGGTCATCTCAACATCCCAGCACCAAGCACTGCCTATGACACTTTTAGGTCTTCTCTTGCTATTTCCCTGTGTCAGTGCTATAAAAGGAATATGAGTACATAACTTTCTGACAGACGGTAACATTTGTGAAACGTATTTGCCTACTTTTTATAAGATGTCTCTGTAGTATTGAGGTAAGTGCAAATAAAATAAGCTTTTTCCAAGCTGAAACTGAACATCTATCATCAAAGTACTCTCTTTTGGCTCTAACTGGTGAGAAAAAATGCAGGCATATATTCAGAGCTGGAAAAAAGTGCCATATTTTAAACTTCAGTCGTTAGATGAGTTTGCTCCCACCAGAGTTTTCCCTGTTAATTTAATTCAACAAGATTTTAAAATTACTGAGGTACTGATAATACTGCACTTTATATATTTTAGTAACTTAATATACTGAATTTCCTCTTTTAGGTCCAGTATTAACATTACTTTAGCATGATTGGTTTTATAGTGACTATAGTGTACCCTTGCGCTGAAGACTTCACAAGGACTGTTTCTGAAAAACCTAAGCAATGCCTTGCCCAAGGAAGAAGTTAGTTAAAAAATGGATGGGCTCTGCTGAACATCTACAGTCAAGAAGATCTTCTCAGTATGAGAAGTTCATGTTAAACATCACAAAGCACAGGCTATCTATACTGCTGAGGGAAACAAGGCTGATTGGCATGGATTCATGTGCATCCATACAGGGGCTAGCTGGTCCACAGCAGCCTGAAGGGAGCTGATGTAATTGAAAGCAGAGCTGGGAAGAAGGTAAACACGTAAGCGGTGTGGATGGCTGGATCCAGTGCTCAGCAGGCTTTCCCCTTAGCAAACTGGAGGGAGCCAGAGCACAGGCTTGAGTATTTATTCTCCTAGGACTGTCCTTGCTCTCTGATCCAGACTCCCTGTCCTGGATCAGGCCCACATACGGCTGAGGACGTAGCTAAGGAGCAAGTTACTGTGCATCAGTGTAGAAACACTTGGTGCTGTTGAGCAAGGCAACAGCTTTGGCTCAATCTGTTTTGGCACATGTTCTTTTCAGAACAAATGACTTTTCCTTTCCAGGTAGGAAATGGATAGGCATCATGAGAATTCTCATACAGACTGCATCTGCTGGGAACATGGGAGCCTGTACCTGCCCAGAATTACCTGTCCCCTTTGGCACCCAAACACAGCTGGTATCCAACAATACCCAGCAGATCTTGTCCCTCAGCTGTGTGATTCTCCACACCACAGTATCTCATGGTTTGTAACTAACTCCAGCATCACTCTAAATACAGAATTTGGGGACCGGACCTGATGCTATGTCCCGGCCATATGCCACAAATCTGTAGAATGTCTCACTGATAAGTGCCCACTAACGTGGTGGTTGTTTCCTCTGCATGAGCCCCAGCATGCCAGGCATGCTCTGGAACAAAGGCAGAGAGAGGACAGTAGTAAGCAGCAGTGGCTCAGTGCGTTTGTATCGCTTGCAAACCCTGCAATAGCTAATAAGCCATAACCTGGTTACACTACTTGTTTCATTTGTTTTCTATCCATTAGCCAAATTCTGGACATATTCTGAAATTCACTAACTGGTTTTTGAAAACTTTTCTTGGTGTAGCGAATGTAGTTCTCATTCAAAGCAAATTGGAGGTCATCTTTAATGTCCTTTAGTGAGCTGCCAGCAGGAGTCTGCCCTTCGTGGAGCTTATCCACCCATGGGCAAACTGAAACTGCAAATGAGCAACTGGCTTTGGAACTGATACAGCTTAGCATTCAGTATTGTGGTACTAGGTTAAATAGCCATGAGTATTAAACAAGGCTAAGAGACAAAGAAAGCCTGGAAATTAAATTGAGCCTCTAAACTGATTCTAGTCACTGTCTTCTTTCACAGCATAGTCATCCTGAATATTAATAGATTTCTGCTAGCCCATGCAGGGATGGGGTGGGAAGCACTGCCTGAGTCATGTCACACATTCTAAGGGAAACTGCGGTGTCCCACAGTGCTCCCTCTTTACCTCCCACTACATTAGTCCTTTCTTCTACTATTTTGGCAGCTGTCCATTTTGAGTTTGCTCTTCCCATGATTTCTCCCTGTTGTTTTTTTTTTTTTTTACTTCTTGATATAGCCAGTCCTATTAGATGCCTCCTAGATAAAGGGTATTGCATAGCAGGCAGCTTTAAGGTGGGGAATAAACAAGACACAATAAATTATTAAAAGCCAAAGTTGCCATAGTAGGCAGGCTTCCCTATGCAAGAAACTCCATCATTATTAATTTATTAATATAACTTGTAACAGAGAGACAAACTGAAACCCAAGGATTTATTCTAAGTCATCCTGAGCCCTTATCTCTTTGCCTATCATTTTGATGGATACAGAATACAACTCGCCTTAATATTTGGTTTCTTTCCTAAAAAAAGTGCCATTAATATCCGTGGAATAGCTATTCTTTTTAACTTTTTTTTTGCATATACCAATGGTACAATATGCACACTCTTTCAAAATAATAACTCACTTTCCTCTCAGTACTACATGTAATTGGTAAGCAGCACTGAAGACCTGAGAATTCCCTGGCTGATTTCACTGAATTCAAATCCAGTCTTGAGTCATTTCCCCCTGAGCTGCCGAAAGCCATGTTTAGGTCATTTACTTAGTAAAGTCTGACTTGTCACAAATGTCCCAGCCACAGTTGTTAAAAAAAACTTATACTTTTTCTATAGTGAAGGTTAGCTGTGCTCATCTTATCCACTCTCAAATGAAGAGTTTCTCATGAAATGGAAGTTTGTTCAGGTAATAGTACTCATGTACCAGTTACAGCTCCTTCTTACTCAGGCTACAACTCACTAGTTTCCCAGAAAAGATAAAAGGTAATGTACTACAGCACTAAGACTGCTTTCACTGCTCTTCCCACAATCCTGCATATGGGACAAACAGCTTAGATCACAGCTCAAACAATTGTCCAGAAAAGAACCCTTAATCATGTCAGATCAAAAAATGTAACCATAGCATATACATATACATAATACACAGCTCAGATTAAAAAAAATCCATAGAATATACATATAAATAATATACATATACAATATATATAAACATATACATGGGCATACATGGAGACAGTGAGAACATCAGGTGAAGCAGTAAAGCATGTGGCTGTGGGCTTCATTCCCACCCAGGCTTGGCTACCCTGCATGCTTGATCTTAAGGGCCAACCATTCATATGAATCATGGTGCCTAAATCAAGGAAGTTTCTTAAATCAACAGCTATCACATCAGTGTAATTTCCACACTATTCTCATGTGTCAGAGCTGTGATGTTTCATACTCAGTCACTAGTCTCTTTCCTTCTCTTCAGTATAGCTTATCTAATGCTGACTCCTTTGATGTGCTCATTAGCAGATACAGAACATGCTGAGATACGAGTTCATGAAACTGCATTTTTATGTGTAAGCAGTCTTTTACATTCTCTGGTTAGTGGAGGGTTTTTTAGTTTGTTTGGTTTTTTTTAAGTGTTGCATTTATCCCCAAAATAGTTTTCAGAGAATAGGAAATAAAACTTGTATTCTGTATTTGCTGTAACTATGTCTTCTGTATCTGTATATTTTTGACATAAATACAGAGGCCTGCAAAGAGAAAAAATACTTTCCAGCCTTCTACCTTTCAGAAAAACAAGCACGTTTTCTCCTACTGTCCATCACACTCCTAATAGTTGTTCAGACAAATGTCTGCTTTCATGTTTGAGGCTTATAAGGGTTAGAGTTAAGAAATGAAAGCGGTAACTACAAAATGGTTTGGCCAGTTTTACTAACTTACTTGCATAAAAAAATTGCACTGAGTACAGTAGAGGTTGCAAGTCTTTTCTTATATACCTTTGTAGATTAACTCAATACCATAACACAACTTAAAACTATGATAACAATAATGAAGTGGATCCAAAACCAAAATCCAGGGTATGAACACTAATCAAAATTAGAGTCAGTTCATGAAAAATATAAGCTCTAAATACTTCAGATTTCCTAACTGGAATCAAGTTTTGACTCAGTAACTTGAAGCTGAGTGTTAAAGTTCTGGGTTATTTTCAAGAGCAGAAGTTTAACTGCTGCTGCTGGAAGCAGAATGTAGGTGTAAGCACATCTCAAGTGATTAATGTGTAATTAATAATGCAGAACAAGAACCATTGTATACAGTTTGCACTTAACGATTATAACTTATATAATCCCTATCCAACCTGCACAGTTTGTAAAATAACACTGACTCTCACAATGCTTTAGGTGCCTGGAAGACCTTGTGTGGTGCAAGTAATGGATTTTAATTGATTTCCTTTCTGGATAGACTCCAAATGGTCAATACGATCTTGGAACCTGATGTGTATGATTTCAACTCTTCCTCCAGCAGTGTACAGAGAAGGTAACACAAAGTGTCATGCCATATGCTTAAATTCATTTGCAGCTGAAACATCCCTCCTGATGTTTTCCAGTCTTTTTTTGCCTACACCAGTGCTTCACTTTCTTCGAAATCAGGAGGTGTAGAGCACACTGCTGACGGATGTGTTGTGATAGATTCCAATGCAGGTGCAATAAAGAGATACAAGAGGCAGATTATTGCTGGAGAGGAAAGAAATGCCAACAAAAACCTTAATCCCCAGTGTTACGTGTTTCTGAAACACATTACTTAAACAGCATTCTTTCGTGTAGCGTCTTCACAGGCACATCTTCGCTCACGTTATAAATATGGCATCTCTAATAGACCTGTAATCAGAAAAATAGTTTGGAGGTGATACTGCAACGTGGCTTGTGTTGTTGCTTGCGGCGCCCACGGGAGGCTGCTGCGGGCTGTCCCCGGTACCGAGTCCAGTGCGGAAATTACAGGTGTGGAACACACGCTGTTGGCACCGAGGCCGGGGCAGCGCCCTGGGGACCGCGGGGAAAAGCCTGCTCCCATGGGAGCCGCCCAGGCAAAGCCCGCCACCGGCGGGCACACCCGGCACTCCGGTGCCCCCGCTGATGCCCGGAGCGGGGGGCAGGTCCGGCCCGCGGGGCGCGGCCGAGGAGCCGCCCTGCGCCCGCCCCTGGCTCCGGCCCCGCCGCCTCTCTCATCCCTCCTCCCATCCCTCCCTCCCTCCTTCCCTGCCTGCGCGGCGCGGCGCGGAGCGCGGCGGAGCGATGTGGCGGTGGCGGTATGTCAGCGCCCGGCAGCTGGACGGCTTCCGACAGTACAAGGTGAGGAGCAGCCCCGGGGGTCGGGAGGGGCGGACGGCGCTCCCGCTGTGGCGTCTCCGGGCTCCGGAGCGTTCCGCTCTGCCGCGGCCGAACGCGCAGCCCAGCCCCGCTCTGCCCGCGGCCCCGCCGGCCGGGCCGTCCCGTCCCTCCGCCGCGTCCGCAGGGATGTGCCCCATCTCCACCTGTGCACGCTCGCACCTGGCCGGGGTCCGGCTCCGAGCGAGTGCCTTACCTGGGTAGGAACTGGGTGTTCGCGAAGAGACACGTCTCGGTGGAGACAGAGTGAACTGGGCTTTGAGTGAGTATCAGCGTCTTTAAAAGCCCTGCCGTTTTAGAGCAGCGTGGTTTAGGAGGCGTCTGGTGTTTCTGTAAGAATGAGTGCGTTGATGGTGCTTGTCTGGCTCTGTGCAAAGCCATCAGACACAGGAATGCTCTGGCACTGAGAAATAAATAAGGAAGCCAGGAAAAAAAACACCTTACTTTCAATAATTTGAACTAAACCTCGTGTTTGCAAATAACAGGCATGCAGAATTCAAATGAATGGTTGAATCATTAGATATTTAGATTTACCGGTGTTATGTCGCAGACTTAGTATATACCTGGGCTTTGTTCCCAGGACATTGCAGGTGCAGTACAGGGGATCATCCAGATTTGCTCTAGTTGAGGTGCAGGTGTCTGAGATGGGCTATGCCACCCTGCTTGCCCACACTCACAGTGCTCCCTGTGAAAAGCATGTAGGGCACTCCAGCTTCCACCAGCACAGTGTCCAACCTATTATTTTATGTTCCGTTTCCCAAGACAGCCCCTACCCTACACTCCCCATGATTCTTGTCTTCTTGCTTTTACCATGTGCCTTCCCGGGCTGGCACGGGACCAGGGCACTCAGCTCCTCCCAAGCCCTTCCCTGGGCCAGCAGCTCTGCCTGCTCACCTCAGGGTGAATGATGATGGAGGAACAGTGGCTTCGAGAGCTTTCTCCAGGTTGCTTACTAGGAACTTGTTTTGCACAGCAGCTCATTAAAATGTACCAACCTGTTCGTGTGTCTCCGGTATGAGTGGGATAAAACATGCTGCAAGCTGCGTCTGGCCACTGGGTGTAAGTTGCACAGGCCTGTGCTTGAACGGTGGAGCTGCAGTCCTGACTGAGGTCACCAGAAGAAAACAAAAAGCTATTTTTAGCATAAACAGACATTGTTATTTAAGTAACTTTCCTAAAATATTTGAGTTCGTAGTACAAATACAAGGAACACTTGTATTACATTCTTCCTTATCACTTGAATGAAAGTGGCTTCAAACAAGTGCAGATGGGAAAGAATCAAAAGAGCATTTTTAAGAAAAACCAACAAACCTGTAATCATTGTGCCATACTTATGATTTGCAGGGCAAATGATTAACAAATGACAGAATCACATATCAAACCATTTTATTTTAGTATATCGGTTTCTTGAGAGCATTGTAAAGGCCAGAAAATATATTTGGTAATTTTCTTAACTGTAGTACTCAGCCAACACACTTGAGAAGTATCTGTTCAACTGTGTTCTGGAAAAAGTGTGGTAAGTACAGGTTTTAGAAAGATAGAAATTTATTTAGAAAATATTTCAAAATCAAATAGTCGGGTTTTTTTATTACCTGAGGTGGCTCAGGACTGGGACATCCTGGAAATAATTAAATCCAAATGGCACAGGTTACACCCAGAGAAATACAGCTGCATGAGATGAGCTGGTGGGGTATCTGCACCATTTTCCTGGTGCTCTGGGTTGCAGGAGGACCTGCAGATGATGGCAGCTCTGCCCATTCCCTTCCTAAATGCTCTTCACAGTAGATTAAAGTTCTCAAAAAATGCAAAATGGGTGCAGCAAGGAGACACTAATCACTGCCACAATCTCTTCCCCTCACCCTCCCATGCCTAGGGCTGCTGCCACAACCACAACTTTGTTCTCACCACCTCCCAGGCCTGAGACACGCTCTTCAGCCCCCTGTTGCCCTCCGGCTGCCATCTCCTCCCCTCCAACCTATGGCCTTACTGCATCCTGCTCCTCCAGCTTCCCAGCTCCTCTGAGGAGACTGCTGCTGCCTTTGCTGACTACTCAACAGGCACTAAACTCTTGATTCCTGTGCCCAGCACACACAGGTTACCTCTCCTTACAACCAGCTGGCTATTTCTGTAGTGTGTTTCCTGGTGAGCCCGGCCCTGGAGTACTGCGGAAGGATACATGGGCTGGCCTTGTGGAGAAATAGGTAATCTCTCAAAGGATTTGTTAGTGTATGTTTGATATTGAGCTAAACTCATGTATTTTGGACATGAAACATGCCTAAGAAACCTTAGGTAGCAGTACCCACCTCTCTGTTGTGCATCCCACTGCAGCATTATATCTGCAGTAGTATAAGTGGCTTAATATCCTCTGTGCTTTGCACGGCTTATCCACCGAGCTGATCTGGGAGCTGAGCGTAACGCAGCTTAAAAAACTAATTTGTGTATTCGACTCCTTTCGTAAAGGCAAATTTGGCTTGAAAAAAAATGCTGTTTGATTTTCAAAATTTTCACACAGCTGAATTAATTTCTCTGCCATGAATACCACAATTGTATGTCTCAGGCACTGTCTGTCTCCTGTTCACAGTTGGAGGAGGGCCTTGGCAACAAAACCAGCACAGTTCTTTGCAAAGGGAATGGCAGACCTCCAATGAATGCAAAGACTTCAGCATCCTTTAGCATGTCAGGTCCATGTAAATTATGCTTTTGAAGCAAGTTTTCCCCAATTACCAAGCTTTGGTTTACATCACAGAGTGACCTCAGAGAACAAAAATGCTTTCCCTTTGAATGAACCTAAACCAGCTGTACTAAGAAAAAATGCACAAGTACACCAAATACATTCAGTCCATACTATTATACTGTAACCAGCCTAGTGTAAAATTTTCATGGACATTGGATCCTCAGGGCTAGCCGTCTCACTTTACAAATCTATTCCTGTTTATTCTGCATGTTAATGGGGATTTAGAGATTCAGTTTTCTTTTACTACTTAAAACCACACTGAGAACAGGTGGAGATGTGATGATGAGACAGTTCAGATGCAACCCTCACTATTGCTGCTGTGATAATTCTACCATCTTCTTGCCTGTGGGGCAGGTGGACAGGTCCTGATTTCAGGATAGTTGCATGCTTGGTGATGTGCTGCAACTGTAGAGCAGAAGATGCTGACACTTGGATTTTGTGCTATTCCCTGGGATCTGGAGCAACACAGTCTGAAAGCTGCAACCAACTGCTATTGTAGAGCTTAGGTCATATTGTTTCTGCTTTTGTATTTTATCAGCATTCTGCAGTTCTAGAGGAGCACCCGCAGAATTACTCAGCTGCCTTTTTTTCTGCCTGTTTGGGTTTCTGTTGGAAACAAACAGTTCTGAGACAGCCAGGTGATGAGTACAGATAAAACCAGAATTTGGACCAGAATGCAGTAATGTCAGTGGTGAGCTCTCGTTGCTGTTGCGTCTTCTCATCACTTCACTTTTAGGATTTCCCTTGCAAATATGCCTTGAGTCATCTTTTCTGCAGCACCTGTGCACAAAGGTTTCCCAAGCCAGAAAACTTTGATGTTTTATCCTGTTCAGGAGAAAAGAGATCTAAGGACAAACTGTAGAGGCTTGACTCAAAGAGTAGGCCTTGGAAAAGATTATTTAAAAAATCAGATATAACATTAAAAATTAAGGTCTATGGTTCCACATTTTTATCTGAATTTGTCAACACTGTTTTTGTCCTCTAAGCCATTTTTTAGAGGGTAGCTCGCTGAGTGGATAAGGGTTGGGGTGAGAGGTAAGATGAAATCAGTGTAAAATGGAAACATAAAGAGTTATCTTAAGTTCTCTGTCAAAGTAGAAGGTTCTATCAAATGGAATCCTACCTAATGGAGCTGTCTCTCTGTCCCAATTCTGTTTCTGTTCAACACGTTCATCAAATAACTGAAGGGAGGAAATTGTAAAATTTTCACGTGATACTAAAGCATTTTGAAAAATAGGGTTATGATTCAAAATGTTACTGGAAAGAGGATATAATGGCCAGAAATCAGTATGATTTCAGTGTAAACACTCAGGGGAAAGAAAAATCAACATTTTGAACACAAAATAGGAGACAGCAGATTGCAGTAAAGATTCCTGGCGATCAGGAATATACTCTTGTAGCTGATGTACTGATCAGGTGTCAGGTGGAATAATATGTTCTGCTTGCTTTGGCCCACAGTTTAGAGTCCACAGAGTGACATAATGGATACTAAGAGGCTTAGGAAAGATGAACTGTGAGAAACAATCTGAGTACAATGGGAGTAAGAGCCTAGCAACCAGTTCATGAGTGCCCTTTTAAAGAAAGACAAGATGTGAGTTTTGGCTGCACAAAGAGAAATTCAAGGTGTCTGCTATGTCAGTCTTGTGTTGATAAGGCTTGCTGGAACAGGTACTAAGGGGGTTGGGCAATCATCAGTCTTAAGAAATAGTTTGATTTCTCTGAGGGAAGATCAACAATCTAGTGTTGAGTGCTAATAAACAGTTGCTGATGCCTTTTTTTAGCAAAGTTTTGGATAGTGTATTCTCTCTTAGTGTGCCAACATGGTCGTTTATCACAACCAATTGGCTCATTACCTCATGGTAACTTGATCTGCTTCCTCTAATGTATACTGAACATGATCCTGCATTAGATGAACGTGCTGGACTAGAAGACCTCTCAAATTACATCCCAGCCCTCACTTTGGTAGGTCAGAGAAACAAGATCAGATGCATGATGATCATGTTTCAAGCTTGATTGTTTCTCTTATACTGACTTATACCAAAGGAGCAACGTGTGTTGAGTATAATCTAGTGAGTTACTGTCTGGAAGCTCAGGATTCATCCAGATGCAAGACTGGATTTCTGTGAAACCTTTATGCTTTTCCAAGGCTACCTGTGTAACTAATGAGATTTAGAAACATAATGGGTTCTGCTCACATTTGTTGAACAGGAGTTTTGCTTTCGACTCCAGT